TTGTAGCCGTGGGCTAATTTGCAGCCTTCGTCCCTGGTTAGGCTTTTTAAAAGGTGTTAGCGTTAAGGGGGAGGGACAACACACAGATGCATAAGAAACAAGAGAAGTTCAGGGCAGACTCCAGTTACGTCCCAAAAAAAAAAAAAACAACAATCCAGTAAAGACCTAACCCAACACGCCGCCCAGCTCCTGGTCAGTTTGTGGTTATCCCCTGACCGGTCTCCCAGCCTAGATGCTAAAACCCCTACAGATGACCCAGAACGCGGCGGCACGGCTGGTCTTCATCCATCCAATGGGGTTGTGGGGGGGATTGGAGCCTATCCCAGTAGTCAATGGGCGAGAGGCGGAGTGGACGGTCCACCAGTTCATGGTGGACACAGAGACACACAAGGACCAACAACCCCGCACACTCAAACTCACTCCTAAGGGCAGTTTAGAGTGTCCAATCAACCTAGCATGCAGGTTTTTGGACGGTGGGAGGAAGCCGGAGAACCCGGAGAGAACCCACAGACACAGGGAGAACATGCAGACTCCACCCAGAAAGGTCCTGGTTCCCCCGGGACTCCAACCCAGAACCTTCTCGCTGTGAGTCAATGGTGCTGACCACCACTCCACGGTCTGGTCTTCAATCAGCCCAAAGAGTCTCACGTCCCCCCTCTGTTCACTGAGCTCCTGTTGGCCCGAACCAGATCCGAAATGCTCTCCCTGAAGGGGGGTGTTGACCAGAAACCAAAGAAGAAACCAAAGAATAGCTCCAGTCCCGCTCGCTGGTAGAACTGGAGATTCTTGGCTCAGAGGACAGTAGTTAATTGATTATTAAACTATTATTTTTATCTATCTATCAAGCTATCTATCTAGCTAGCTATCTATCTATCTTGATAGATTTCTATCTTGCTATCTATCTATCTATCTTGCTATCTAGCTAGCTATCTATTCATTTTTCAGATCTCTTTTAGTCCCACTTTTTTGTGTTTGTTTTTTTAGAGCTGGTGTTATTACAATTGCCCAACTCTCTGTTTCTTTTTGGTCATTTTCATCACGTATGATCTGAAGTTTGTTATTTTCCATCTGGAG